ACCAGATAATGTTTCTTTGGCGCCTTTGTTTCCTAGATGGTGGAGAAGGGCTGTTGGTTGAATATTCCAAAGAAACATTGTAATTGCTGTTTTTAAGTGCGCTTTCATAGAAAGGTTTGCATTCATCAAAGGATTCCTGGTCAGATGAAAGGGAAGAGATATGCTTGTTGAGATAGGAATTTCCTTTAGGATGGATGGTGGGTGGTTTGATCGGCTGTCAACATAAAGTGGTTGGTTGTTTGGCTTTCTGTACAGTGCAAATTTTTCATTTTCCAAATTTAGCGTAATATCTAGAAAGTTGACAACTTGATTGTTAAGGGACCGGTCATAAAGTAATTACTAGAAGGGGATGGAGGATAAATGAAATTTCAAGTACATATATTTCCATACCCTCCCAAAACCTATGGAAAAATTTTCGTTACCCCCTTCAATGTAAGTGAAAATTTTAATACCCCCCTCCCCCCTTCTATCATTAATTCTGTATTAACATTTGTCTTGTGTTTATCTATATTTCGAAACTCTCCAGTTTGTGATATAACTCTCCCACTTCTTGTAGTGGTAACCATATCCTCAACATTTTCTGCAATCTCCGATTCGTCACCAGTCTTTGCTGATTCTGACATACTAGCGATGAGCTGAGAGTAAGATCAAACAGAAAAATTTGTTTTTGGTTTATTACAAATAGAAAAAATTTGCTTCCATTCAATGTGACACTTCCTTATCAGGTTTATCAAGTTCTAATGCCGGTGTGAGATTGCTAGGGCAATGACATTCAGGTGTATCAGATTTGTTCTCCAAAAGTTCAACAGATACTGAATCCTACTTATCATATGACATTGAGTCAGACTAAAACATATACTTTGTGTTGATTTAATAATTATAGTAAAGCAATTCTTTCCAAACTTAAATCTGGGCACAAATACGTTCAATATACAACAATAGTTATAAAATGTAATTTTTTTCCGTACCTATACTACTAAGATTTTGGTACCCCTCAGGAGGTTCTCTTTTTTTCCATACCCCCCCAAAAAAAAAAAATCCTCCACACCCCCTAGTAAATACTTTATGACCGATCCCTAACCTGAGCAGTTATCTTCAAACCAATTTAACCGAATATGTCATGCAACATCTTTATTGTTTTGACGCCTTTCTTCCGTTAACGCCTTCAATTAATGCGAGGCGATCGTCGTGGGAATCATCGCCTATTGTTGGGAATAATCATGGCTGGTATTCAACTTGATATTACTAACATGTTCTGTCTCTCGCAGTTGGGGGTGGAAGGGGTTAGGTACAAACTTACTCAATATGCTGAAAAACTTGACGTGTCTGTTGAATGTGTTGTGGAAGCCTTGGAAATTCGTCTGAAGAGAAATTGTTCCACTTTTTGTGGGCAGTATTGGTTGAAGGAAAATGGTATGGCTATGGGCCCCTAAAATTCTAGCTCATATGCTGACATTGTTGCTGAAAAAAAATCAAAAAGTTTTAGCATCACTGACTATTTATCCGGAACTTAGGTGCTGGTTTCACTATTATACTATAATACAATTTTTACTATCATATGCTGATAATGAGACAACATAATTTTGTTCCAGGTCCACAAACTAACTGGGATGGCCACAAGAATAGCATAGAAGCGACAGAGAGTTGGATACACATCAATCAAACTATAACCTGGGTTAGAAAGTGTGAAAGAACTCAACAACGAGAAGGCACTAAGTTGGGACTTCTCTGCTACGTGCTTCACAAAGATTGTGGTCATAATTTGGGTGCTAAAATCAAAGGGAAATTGTGCACTGCTACAATGTATGAAAACGGACAGAATAGGGCATTTTGGATAATTTAAAAGATTTGCGATGAATATTGTTATAATATACAAGTGACAAGTCTATTTATTTATAGCATATTGTAATGCATTAATTGAAATACTATTCTTTATTTTGCTTGAGAAATTTGATTCACAAACAGCAAGTTATATTGGATAGGTCATTGGTATCATATCAGTTCAATTTGCGAAGGATTTTATGCGCATTTAAAGAATAAGCCAAACACAAAGGCTATTAAAACTGCATGATGTGTTTTGTAATATGATCCAGCATTATATCTCCCCAGTCCAGCATTTTCTCACATCCACAGGCCACGCTGCTTCTATTGACGACTTCGAAATCCTCTCCTCTTGTTCAGATGAACAAGAACTCCTTATTCATGAAAGCTTTTTTATCTCTAAAATGAAACTCTCTCTCAACGTTCAAGGCAGTTCAATCCCTCTTCACGTATTCTGATCTCTTTTTTTTTTTTATTTTTTTTTTTATGTTTTGTCTGTTTGTGTTGTCTAATTTGGTTGTTCTCATTTTTGTCCGTCACTTCCCTTCATTATCCATTCTTATCCTTACGTTTTGTGTACCTCGTATTCGCTTGTAATTTAATATTGCTATAATAGCTTTACTTTATGCTTAATTACTCTTACAGCTTGTAATTTAATATAGTCTGAAGATGTCTTGAGTTAAGACGAAACGTTACTTAATCTTTAATAAAATTTTTAAATTTAATGGTTTATGGCTCTTTTAAAAGCACTTTGCTGGGCATTAATATTTATTATCAGAACTAAACTTACTTGCGATTTGCGGTAATTTGGGTAAAATTGGCAGAAGCCTTATGGATAATTGGGGGGAAAATTAGGCAACTCATTAATATTCTATTTTGTGGCTATCAACGACGATCTGACATCCGACATCCACCACGCGTGCCGAAACCTATACTCGCCAGGGCACAGCGAGTAATAAATATGGCGGATTTCTAAAATATTCTACATTGCAAATAAAGATTATATACAAGCAGGATACTGAATACTTCAGGTACCGTATACTCTATTTTACGGTGCAGTCAGTTACAGGATAAAATAGTTAAATAAATAATAATAATAAAATAGTTAAATATCAACCTGATATATAGTACACGCACTAGCTGCATTTTAGAATTTTCATGCTTACCGTTAGACCCGTTGTTCATACAATCTATCCCAAGTCGGGGATTCTTTTCAGCCACTTGGCGAGATTTTATATCAGCAACAGTTTGTATTGGATTATATCCAGAATTTTCTGCCAATGACAATGGTATAGCTTCCAGAGCCTCTGCAAATGATCTCATCGCATATTGCTCTAGAGTAGAGATCTACAAACAAACAACTAATGTAATTGCATGCTAAGACTAACGAGAAAGTCGTCTGCCGACGGCACTTTCCATAAAAACAGGGGTTGCGAACTAAAGATTTCTAATACATATAGACTATACTGTAAAAAGTACCTATACGAATCATAGCGATGATTACCTTATCAGCACGTTCACCCACTTTCAAAGAACAGGCTAGTTCAACAGCACCACCTCCATATACAATACGATTATCACGAACAAGATTTCGAACGACACATAGTGCATCGTGGATACTACGCTTCGCTTCTTCGATTATCTAGAGTAAATGCGGAATTACGTTAATACAGTACTGTACAGTACATACAAAAAGTATTTTAATTTATAAAACATGTCACAAAACGGCGTATTTATAGTCAAATGAAAACTAAACATAATGTAAGCAATTACCAAGCACTGTTTATTTCAAATGCATCATACTAATTACTGAACAAATAGATACTGTAGAAGCGCTGTAATTCATAATGTAGACACCGACGATGCCATCACATAACATCAACGATGACGTCATGCAGACATCGATAACACCATCAGCAGATGTTGATGATGATGTCATGCAGACATGGATGATACTATTATACAGACATGAACGAAGATGCATACATACGCCGGTGACGACGTCAAAGCTTGTGTAAAACACTAGTGTACTAACCATTTTATTTCCTCCTCGAATAAATATTGTTACAGCACGGGTATTCTTACATTCTTCTATAACCAACATACGATCTTTAGTTGTACCAAATGATAACTCTCTTACGATTCCTGCATGGCCTAATTTCTCTGAAGTTAGTTCTGAGAATCGAGGGACTATACGACCACCTGTTGCGATCGCAATCAACTAGAAATAGAAAATTAAGATGAGGAAGAGCAGGCAAAAGTACCCACCTATTAAATCGTCAAAACAGCGGCAAATACAACAGCTACAGGATTGTACAGGGCTGAAAAGCAACACTATATTGGGCAACACAGAACACTAGCGGACACCACATTTTCCGTGCATGCAGAGGCGGACACTAAGGAATACGAGGAGGAGCAGGCAAAAAAGTTTAAAGAAGTAGGATCTGCATCAACAAAAGGATGATAATATACGAGTGATGCCATTGCCCATTATACAGTATGGGTAAATATGGAGATTTTTGGGTATCTCGCTCATATATGCAATCACAATATACAACCATATCCAGTATAATAAAAGTAAAAAACTGTACATTTAATTAACAACCAAAAGAGCAGCACCAATATTACAGTACAGTCTTCAAGAAACGTGTAGTTGATTCGCGAGCAAG